TGATCTCCTGTTTTTCCCAGTCAATAAATTTAAAGTGCTTTCAGCCAATCACTGACCAAGACAAAGAGTCCAGAAGCGTCCAACACCGATGTCCCTATGCACATTCTTTACTCTTAAAAAATAAACTTACACTGTGTAAATTGTCATCTATCAAATTTAAAACGGTTGTCGTGCACCTCAATTAATTATTAACAATTATTTAATTGACCCTATACAATTGTCAAAGGAGGACAATATGAAACACATGAACTCAGGAGTGGGAGGAGATCATTATCATATGTAGACAGTGTTGGGAAGGTGACTTTTAAAATGTATTCCCCTACAGATTACAGATTACATACCCCAAAATGTAGTTTGTAACGTAATCCATTAAATTACTTAAAGTGAGTAACGTAATCTGAATACTTTGGATGACTTGACTTTATGTAGAGAAGCAAAGACCAGGATATCTTCACATAAGATGTTTTGTCTGCTCAAAGAAAATCAAAAGCCCAGTCTTTACTTAAAAAAATAGTATTGATAGAAGAGGAGGAGACATGGTCCGCACAGCATGGTTTAGTCCTGTTAAACCCTGTTTGAGACATAGTTTAGACCTGGTTTTAGTCCTGGTTTAGTCTTGGTTTAGTCTTGGTTTAGACATGGTTTAGTGTTGGTTTAGTCCTTGTTTAGATTTGATTTTAGACCTGGTTTTAGACCTGGTTTAGACCTGGTTTGGACCTGGTTTAGACCTGGTTTTAGTCCTGAATTAGTCCTAGTTTAGACCTGGTTTTAGACCTGGTTTAGACTTGATTTTAGACCTGGTTTGGACCTGGGTTTAGACCTGGTTTAGACCTGGTTTTAGACCTGATTTAGTGTCCGGCAATGAGCGGAATTACCAGAAAAAAAAAACAACAACAAAAAAAACCTCTGTGTAATCCATTTATTTCAACAAAGTAACTGTAATCTAATTACCGCTCACTTAAACAGTAACTGTAACTGAATACAGTTACTCATAATTTGTACTCTGATCACGTAACTCCAGTACATGTAATCTGTTACTCCCCAACACTGTATGTAGAATAATTTGATGCGATTAAATGAGAATAATTCAGCGCGTCAAATAACAATTTAACGCATCAAATAAGAATTTAAGGTTGTAACACGCATCAAATAAGGTGTTAAATGTGTTAAATATATGCGTAAATGTGAACAGTTTGGCTTGCCATTCGTAAGACTGTTTTTAGTGGCAGGATAACTATGGCCATTGACATGCACTAGCCTAGCACCAGCGACCTCTGCAAATACAAGGACTGGATGGAATATTTTAAAAAGTGTCTCCACACGTCTCCAACACTCTGGCTCACTAGGAAATTGAGGTCCTATGTCAAAAATTCTGGACCCTGGTCCCTTTAAAAATAGTTTTGTTCCCGTACCATTTTTGGGGGGATACTCTAGTCCGATACCACATAGTGTGAAGAAGTAAACGTAACTTAATTTAAAGAAGTAAGAACTAACTAAAAGTCTCTTGCAAATGAAGTGTCAAATATATAATGATTTTGACTGTCATTACTTTCTACCGCAGCGCATGGATAAAACCAAATGTGAGGCCTGTAAAAAAAAATAAAAATAAATCCTCAGAGCTCGTTTATAATTATGCAAAGTAAATAAAGTCCGAGTTAGAGCTGTTGCCGCTGTTGCCTGTAGCAGTATTTCTATGAAGTTGAGCGTCCATACCAAAGACTAAAAGAAGGTATCAAAGAGGTGACACATCAGTGATTCGGTCTGAGCACTCGCCGATACGGATACCTGAAAAATGTGCAGGATTGGAGCTTTTGCCTGTGCCAGAATCGGTATCGGAACAACCCTAGTTAAAACTATTAGAGCAGGGGTGTCAAACTCAAATTCACAGAGGGTCAAAATTAAAAACTGGGACTAAGTCGTGGGCCAAACTAAATATTTATTGAACAATTTTGACAACATCTGCATGTTTTTTCTGCATAAGTTTTCTTCTTTCGGGAACTTTTTCTTATTAAAATAAATGTACAATAATAGTTTTGCTTAAACATTGAATCCAGAACAAGCATAATATAAAATAATGACAACATTTTAAATAAATAATGTCTCTGTAGCCTTTCTGTAGCCGGCGGGCAGCTCTTATACAGATTTGATATGATCTCGTGGGCCAAATTTGGACCCCGGGCCTGAGTTTGACATGTCTGTATTAAAGTATAAAGACTATTCATTGGTAGATCAGGTATACAGTCTTAGCCTGGTATGTAAAAATATAAATACTACTACTTCTTCAACTACTTAAGATAGAATTTATAGTGCAATTGTTACTAATATGAAATCTAAAATACACTGAAACTCTAAATACATAATTCTTCATAATTCTTGGCCTTAAAAATATAAACTAGTCGAAAGTACTCAAACTGAAACTCACATTTTCCATTTCTTGCAACTTCATCTAGAGCAAGGGTGTCAAATTCAAATTCACAGAGGGTCAGAATTAAAAACTGGGACTAAGTCGTGGGCCAAACTAAATATTTATTAAACAATTTTGACAACATCTGCATGTTTTCTCTACTTTCGAGTTATGTGATGTTAAACTTTTTCTTATTAAACTAAATGTTTAATAATAGTTTTGCTTAAACATTGAATCCAGAACAAATATAATATAAAATAATAACAAAATTTTAAATAATTAATGTCTCTATAGTCTATCTATAGCCGGCGGGCAGCTCTAATACAGATTTGATTTGATCTTGCTTGCCAAATATAATTATATCGTGGCCCGGGCCTGAGTTTCACATGTCTGAATTAGAGTATAAATACTATTCATTGGTAGATCAGGTATACATTCTTAGCCTGGTATGTAAAAATATAAATACTACTACTTCTTCAACTACTTAAGAGAGAATTTATAGTGCAATTGTTACTAATATGAAATCTAAAATACACTGAAACTCTAAATACATAATTCTTCGTAATTCTTGGCCTTAAAAATATAAACTAGTCGAAAGTACTCAAACTGAAACTCACATTTTCTATTCTTGCAACTTCATCTAGATACAATAAGATCAGGTCAAGCATAAGTCAGTCAGTCACGCTTTAGCAATAATAAAAAATTTTATATACGTCCATTTATAAGAGTAGCATGGCGTATAAAAAAATGAACTGATGCAACTTGAAACATGCAAAACTACGCTCAAGGTTTTACTGACGTTTATTTGTAACATGCATTATAATTCAATTCTATTAATCTTTTTTTTTTTATTCTTTATTTTGTTTTTGTCTTTCAGGTCAAATGAATCCAAAAAGACTTTCTGGAAAATGTAAAAAAAAAAAAAAAAAAAAAAAAACTATTCTCAATTGTCTGTCCCCTGTCATCTCTCATGTGCATGTACTCTTGTATCATACTCCATTTGTGACTTTCTTAAATAAACTGTAAGTAAGACTGAATGTTTTATTTATTTCAATTCATGTATTTTTTTTTTTACTATTTACCCACATTTTATTCTTCGCTGCACCTGGGTGTGAACACTGAAAAAACTCAAATGTGGCGGTTTGGAGCTGTATCTCTTTCTGTCTAATTCAGTAACGAAACTTATAGTTAAATAAACCTCTGTCTCCTCGGGGAAATGTAAATATTCTGTTACTGTAAAAACTGTCTTGTGCACCTGCTGCCTGTTACGCCTCGTAGCTCTGCAGACCATTTCACTTCTCTTTTCTGTCCCTTTTTTCGGAGCTGGTCGTTTCGATGCTCACAGCCGCTGCTTTCGGTTAACCCTCTGCTCCTGTCCTGCTCAAAAACATTTGCACAAAAAAAAAAAAAAAAAGCATTTGCAGCCCTCCTCCCTCCACCAGATGTGAAACTTTAGCGAGATACAGTGGAAGGATGCCATCTGCTGGCTACAGCGAGTATTACACAGTTAGAGCTGGGATTATTTCAGCACAAAAGGTATGTTTGATTTGTAGTCCCAGTTTTGGTTGGTCTTTATACTTTTTTGAAAAGCAAAGACTTTATATGTGTAAACTGAATCCCTGTTGTTATCCATATTCAAATTTATTTAAACTAACCTTAGTGAATAAATAATCTGAAATGTTTCTTTATAATTGTTACCAAAAATAATAATAATAAAATGTTTCTTTTAGACTAAGACCTAGATTGATGACTTTAAAATAAATACATCAATACATAAATAAATAAATAAATAAATAAATAAGTTTGGTTTGAAAAAGCAACAAAATTTTTATCTTAAATTCAAACTCACACCTATCATTTATACATTTTCGTTTGAAAAGTTTGAACATTTTTAAATATCTGTTAGTTTGTAGTTAAAAATTTAGACTCATCTTGTCATTTTTTTTTATTTTATTATTTTTTTTATGTTTATTTCTCATCAAATATATGAAGTAAGATATATGGAATTATTATTACAAAAAAAAAGTTCATTTAAAAAAAAAAAATTTATATCCAAATACTTAAATTAATGTTTTTTTGGGGTTTTTTTTATAAATAAATCCATATATATTTCTTCATATATTTGATGTCTTCTTTATGTTTATGCAAATGTAGAAAGTAGTAAGAAAAAAAAATAAAAGAGCGGATGAGATGGTGTGTCCAAACTTTTGACTAGAAGTGCATGTTTAAAAAGCACCATTCAAAAGTTAATTTAATTTAACTTTTAACAATTTATAAACATATGAAAAACATCAAATGCATGCAATCAGATATATGAAATTAAGTGGTAAAGAAAAAGGAAAAAAAAAACTATTGTTAAATATTTTTGAGAAAGCAAACGATGGCTAATTTGAGGATTTATTTATTTTATTTATTTACTAATTTGATTAATTATTTAACTTTTGTTTCTTTGCTACATAACTCTATACGTCTTACTCATATATTTCATGTCTTCTGTGTGTATATACGTTGTCGGTAAACATATACCCCACATTACGTTTTTATTACATGAACAATGTATGCATTGATTAATATTGGAACATCTGTTCTCATCCAGAGCGACAAGTCCTTTCTCCAAACATCACACTGTACCTGTCATGGGAGGGAGACTGGGACTCCCAAGTCAAACTCACGTGCCTGGTGAGTGGCTTCTACCCGGACACTCTGAAAGTGAGCTGGACCAGAGACAACCATCCCTTTCTGGACTCAACACCCATCGAGAATAAGTTCAAAAGCCCCAATGGGGGCAAGAGCTTCACCCTGAGCAGCCAGATCGAGCCAAACATGACTGAGTGGGAGAATGGATCCAACTTTACATGCGTGGCGCTCCACGAGAAGACGACTTACAGCAAGTCCATCAATATCTGTAAAAGTAAGTGAAGACACGTGGTATTTAGAAATGCAGTGTTGGAGAAATCTTAAAAAGGGTGAAAGTTTAAAAGTATTCACACCAGGACATAGATACACAACCAGTCAAAAAAAAACAAAAAACTTTTCTTTCATTTTTCATCTGTAGTTCCATGATTATTTGCATTGTAGATTCTCACTGAAGGCATCAAAACTACATATGGACTGTAGCAAACAAAAATACATTCAAAATAAGTCTTAGATTAAAAATAAATAAATAAATAAATAAATTCTTCAAAAAGTCCGTTTGTATGAGAGAAAGAGAAGGACAATTATTAGGCATTAAATAAACTATTTAAGAAAAGAGTAAAGAGGCTTTGTGTATTGTTCAAAGCCTCACAAGAAAAAGAAAAGAAAATGTTGAGATAAAACTGATAAAACTTAAAATGCATAAGAAACTTTAATGTTATTTATTATTATATGTACACGGTTTAATATTTTCTATATTAACACAGTGTAACTTGAATCATATTTCTTACTGTATACATTATTTTTTGTTCTTGGCAGTGACACCAAAAATGCCCCCTGCCGTTGACTTGGAGACTCCCAGTTTCCAAACCGTAATGACTGCAGAGTCCAGAGTAAATGCCACCTGCACAGTGCGCAGTGTGGCCAGGACCTCTGTGACTTGGCTCCTGTATCCTGAGTTCTCTGCTCCTCAGATCATTAAAGAATCCAACAGCACCCATATCATCAGCAAACTGACCCTGTCCCCTTCCCAGTGGGAAACACTGTTCTTGCTCACCTGCAAAGCTGAACATGCTTGCCTTCCCCCCACAGAGAAGAGCATTAACATTTCAGGTTACATTTATGGATTATTTATTATTGGATGCTGATATGCCATATGCACTTTTTGTGTAACTGATTTTCTGTGTTTTAATGCCAGAACCTCCAGCTTCTGATCCAGTGGTGTCCATCAGGAGGTCTCTGCCAGATTTGTTGAAGGGCGACAGAGCTGTGCTGGAGTGTGACATCACCAGCGTGTCCTCCACTGACTTCTATGTGACCTTTCAGTCCAATGATGTTGATATTTCCTCTAAAGACTTTGTCCAACTCCCTAAGGGCTCTGGTCTCCATTCGATCAGCAGAAGATTTTCTGTCCCTAAAGACCAATGGAAAAATGACCAAAATTTCAGCTGCAGAGTGAGCTATGGCTTCTCCACCAACTTCACCTCTACACCCACAGGAAGCATCTTTGGTAAGAGTCCTCTTGTGTTCATGACCACAGCGTGTGTGCCTTTAATACTGCAGATAATCAGAGGAATGGGGCTGTGTGTCTTTCTCAGTGGAGCCTTCAGTCAAGCTTCTTTTGGCGAGTGACGAGTCAGGAAAGCAGACGCTCTTTTGCACAGCATGGGGATTTGACCCGCACATTCAATGGCTCTCTGGGTCTCAGAGAATCTCTAGTGGATCAAATGACTCCATCAGTGTGAACGCAGAGGGACGTGTGGTGGTGAGCAGTCAGCTGCAAGTGTCTCAAGCAGAATGGAAAACTGGACAGGTCTACACCTGTCAAGTGTCTGACAAGTCTCTGGACAAAACAACAACACTCAAAGAGGACATCAGTGTATGTGCAGGTAAACATGCCAAACCATTAGTGTACTGCCATCTAGTGGTGAGGATGAAGAATGTGCCTGAGAAAATACATTAAAGACCTGATTGCTCCACAAGTATCCACTTAGCATAGCCGTCACACTTTGTCAGTGAAATTCTTAAAATAAAACAAACAGTACTTTACCATATGTTTTTCCAATCATCCAAAACATCCAAAATATTTCATAACTTAATTTTTAAGCATCATGTTTGGGTCACCAGTATAATGATGTTATAGCATTGTTTTCATTGTTTTGTGCAGTAAATCTGCTCTATCTCTAAGCACTCAAAAAATATAAAATGTGGGATTGTGTGTGCTACATCACTGGCAAACGTTCAGAGGTCCCAGGGCCCATTTTATACTATTTTCAGATCTATGTTATAAGGTTGTTTCATCAAAAAGTTGAGTTTTGTTTCATTCACACGTTTAGCACACAAACCCTGCATACTTAGGCTCAGTTCTTCTCTCAAAAATGAAACACTCTGCTCCACCTTGTGATGTCATGTGGTAATAGAGGAAATTCTTCACTGTGTTTCACAACTCCATACACCTTCACTAGCATCATTTTTGGATCATTTCAGCCCTGGAATTGTCAGTTTCTACAGAACAAAAGTAAAATGTAGCTGTTAACATGAAAACTAGTGCTTCATTACATCACAAGGTAGAACAGAGCTTTCAGAGCCTTGAAGATGTAGACAGACGAATCATAACTAGTTACTCAAACATGTGTAAGTAAAATAAAACACAACTCCAGATATGTATCTGATGACATAACATTCTAACATAACTAAAAGCCCACAAGAGTCAGTTTTACATAATATAGGACCTTTAAGTCCATAAATCAAACTCTGAGCATTTCTGACGTCAAATCACATTATAACAGTGTTCTTACACCATCGTGTCATGGTATGTTCCTAACTCTAATTACTCAGTCAATGTACAATAGCAAATCCCTCCACTGCCAGTAGATGGAGCCTGTCCCCAGTCCCCAGTCCCCAGTATAGGGAGCGCACCAGTAGAAACAAGGTGTCCGTTGTCACAAGGTAACCATTATTTTAAGTTTTAAAACATGACATGCCAAAGCAAAGATACTCAAGAGCACGTTTAAAGGCAAATAACAATACAAATAGAGCATAATATTTGTTTTTTAAGAGATCATTTATACATTTTTTTAAACGTTTCACAAGAAACCATGAACAAGATAAAAACATGAAAGTATATGACCAACCTGGTAACTTACTCTCCATATTCTCCCTCAGTGGCAGCACATTTGAAGGCCTCTCCTGTGGTTCTGGTGGAGCTCCCTTCGTTCCAGACCGTGATGACCTCTTCCTCTAATGTGACAGCCATCTGCTCAGTGTGCACTGTGTTTGACGCCACAGTCTCCTGGTGGATGGGTAATACTCGTGCAGAGAGTCACTCAGTGAGGCAGTACATGAACTCCAGTCATATCATCAGTGAGCTCACACTTCCCCCAAGTCAATGGAAAACACTGAGTGATGTGTCCTGCAAAGCAGAGCATGCGTGTTTCCCCACCACAAAGAAGACTGGCCATGTGGCAGGTGAGAGAAACAGCAGCAGGGATTCAGTCAACACAAGACCACTCTAACTCATGTTGGACATGGTTCTTTTGCAGCTCCTCCAGGCACTTCTCCAGTGGTGTCCATCAGGAGGTCTCTGCCAGATTTGTTGAAGGGCGACAGAGCTGTGCTGGAGTGTGACATCACCAGCGTGTCCTCCGCTGACTTCTATGTGACCTTTCAGTCCAATGATGTTGATATTTCCTCTAAAGACTTTGTCCAACTCCCTAAGGGCTCTGGTCTCCATTCGATCAGCAGAAGATTTTCTGTCCCTAAAGACCAATGGAAAAACAACCAAAATTTCAGCTGCAGAGTGAGCTATGGCTTCTCCACCAACTTCACCTCCACACTCACAGGAAGCATCTTTGGTAAGAGTCCTCTTGTGTTCATGACCACAGCGTGTGTGCCTTTAATACTGCAGATAATCAGAGGAATGGGGCTGTGTGTGTCTTTCTCAGTGGAGCCTTCAGTCAAGCTTCTTTTGGCGAGTGACGAGTCAGGAAAGCAGACGCTCTTTTGCACAGCATGGGGATTTGACCCGCACATTCAATGGCTCTCTGGGTCTCAGAGAATCTCTAGTGGATCAAATGACTCCATCAGTGTGAACGCAGAGGGACGTGTGGTGGTGAGCAGTCAGCTGCAAGTGTCTCAAGCAGAATGGAAAACTGGACAGGTCTACACCTGTCAAGTGTCTGACAAGTCTCTGGACAAAACAACAACACTCAAAGAGGACATCAGTGTATGTGCAGGTAAACATGCCAAACCATTAGTGTACTGCCATCTAGTGGTGAGGATGAAGAATGTGCCTGAGAAAAATACATTAAAGACCTGATTGCTCCACAAGTATCCACTTAGCATAGCCGTCACACTTTGTCAGTGAAATTCTTAAAATAAAACAAACAGTACTTTACCATATGTTTTTTCCAATCATCCAAAACATCCAAAATATTTCATAACTTAATTTTTAAGCATCATGTTTGGGTCACCAGTATAATGATGTTATAGCATTGTTTTCATTGTTTTGTGCAGTAAATCTGCTCTATCTCTAAGCACTCAAAAAATATAAAATGTGGGATTGTGTGTGCTACATCACTGGCAAACGTTCAGAGGTCCCAGGGCCCATTTTATACTATTTTCAGATCTATGTTATAAGGTTGTTTCATCAAAAAGTTGAGTTTTGTTTCATTCACACGTTTAGCACACAAACCCTGCATACTTAGGCTCAGTTCTTCTCTCAAAAAGGAAACACTCTGCTCCACCTTGTGATGTCATGTGGTAATAGAGGAAATTCTTCACTGTGTTTCACAACTCCATACACCTTCACTAGCATCATTTTTGGATCATTTCAGCCCTGGAATTGTCAGTTTCTACAGAACAAAAAGTAAAATGTAGCTGTTAACATGAAAACTAGTGCTTCATTACATCACAAGGTAGAACAGAGCTTTCAGAGCCTTGAAGATGTAGACAGACGAATCATAACTAGTTACTCAAACATGTGTAAGTAAAATAAAACACAACTCCAGATATGTATCTGATGACATAACATTCTAACATAACTAAAAGCCCACAAGAGTCAGTTTTACATAATATAGGACCTTTAAGTCCATAAATCAAACTCTGAGCATTTCTGACGTCAAATCACATTATAACAGTGTTCTTACACCATCGTGTCATGGTATGTTCCTAACTCTAATTACTCAGTCAATGTACAATAGCAAATCCCTCCACTGCCAGTAGATGGAGCCTGTCCCCAGTCCCCAGTCCCCAGTATAGGGAGCGCACCAGTAGAAACAAGGTGTCCGTTGTCACAAGGTAACCATTATTTTAAGTTTTAAAACATGACATGCCAAAGCAAAGATACTCAAGAGCACGTTTAAAGGCAAATAACAATACAAATAGAGCATAATATTTGTTTTTTAAGAGATCATTTATACATTTTTTTAAACGTTTCACAAGAAACCATGAACAAGATAAAAACATGAAAGTATATGACCAACCTGGTAACTTACTCTCCATATTCTCCCTCAGTGGCAGCACATTTGAAGGCCTCTCCTGTGGTTCTGGTGGAGCTCCCTTCGTTCCAGACCGTGATGACCTCTTCCTCTAATGTGACAGCCATCTGCTCAGTGTGCACTGTGTTTGACGCCACAGTCTCCTGGTGGATGGGTAATACTCGTGCAGAGAGTCACTCAGTGAGGCAGTACATGAACTCCAGTCATATCATCAGTGAGCTCACACTTCCCCCAAGTCAATGGAAAACACTGAGTGATGTGTCCTGCAAAGCAGAGCATGCGTGTTTCCCCACCACAAAGAAGACTGGCCATGTGGCAGGTGAGAGAACAGCAGCAGGGATTCAGTCAACACAAGACCACTCTAACTCATGTTGGACATGGTTCTTTTGCAGCTCCTCCAGGCACTTCTCCAGTGGTGTCCATCAGGAGGTCTCTGCCAGATTTGTTGAAGGGCGACAGAGCTGTGCTGGAGTGTGACATCACCAGCGTGTCCTCCGCTGACTTCTATGTGACCTTTCAGTCCAATGATGTTGATATTTCCTCTAAAGACTTTGTCCAACTCCCTAAGGGCTCTGGTCTCCATTCGATCAGCAGAAGATTTTCTGTCCCTAAAGACCAATGGAAAAACAACCAAAATTTCAGCTGCAGAGTGAGCTATGGCTTCTCCACCAACTTCACCTCCACACTCACAGGAAGCATCTTTGGTAAGAGTCCTCTTGTGTTCATGACCACAGCGTGTGTGCCTTTAATACTGCAGATAATCAGAGGAATGGGGCTGTGTGTCTTTCTCAGTGGAGCCTTCAGTCAAGCTTCTTTTGGCGAGTGACGAGTCAGGAAAGCAGACGCTCTTGTGCACAGCATGGGGATTTGACCCGCACATTCAATGGCTCTCTGGGTCTCAGAGAATCTCTAGTGGATCAAATGACTCCATCAGTGTGAACGCAGAGGGACGTGTGGTGGTGAGCAGTCAGCTGCAAGTGTCTCAAGCAGAATGGAAAACTGGACAGGTCTACACCTGTCAAGTGTCTGACAAGTCTCTGGGCAAAACAGTCAAGGAGAACATCAGTGTATGTGCAGGTAATGTCAATAATCCAAATAGGAGTTATGTGTCTACACTAGTTTATTTTAGTGCTGTCATGCGATTAAAAAAATTTAGAGATTAATTAATTATGATCTGTAATTAATTAATCTAATTAATCTCATTTTAATCTCACCTAAAAATTGCTGAGAAAAGCCTTCAATTTGAGGTATTTTCATTTAAATTCATTATTACATTATTGTGGCAGATCAAAAACTGATATAGATTAAAAAAAGTGACTTTATAAAGTCATTTATTGTTTAACAAATCTCTCCAAATTGACTGTTGAGCCCAAGTCTCCATGAATAAGAAACTGTTTGCTTTAAAGTAGCAAAGACGAGGAAATCTGAACATAATAACTTTTGTCTACTTAAAGACAATAAAAAGTCCAGTCTTTCCTTAACCATATTAAAAATATTATTGATAGAGAAATGCTTTATATATGAAATCACTGGTTTTAGTCCTTGTTTTAGTCCTGGTTTAGACCTGGTTTAGACCTGGTTTTAGTTCTGGTTTTAGTTCTGGTTTTAGTCCTGGTTTAGTCCTGGTTTAGTCCTGGTTTACTCCTGGTTTAGTCCTGGACTGGTTTAGTCCTGGTTTTAGTCTTGGTGTTAGTTCTGGTTTAGAGGCGCACAGGAGGAAGCGCGGTTTACGCAGTGTACGCGAGAAAACACGATCCACACGCGGCGCACGGGAGCACGTCGGTGTCCGCGCAGTAACTACGGAAGGAAACGTGGTCCGCGCGTTCTCAGGTTAATGACGATGATGAAGGTGTGTTTGTGTGTGTTTGTGTGTGTGTTTGTGTGCGTGTCCCCTCATGTGGCAGGTCACTATAGGACAGTAGTGCAGACATCATGAGCCTATGCAGGTTGTTTTCACCAGTGACATTTAAGTTGTAGGCGATTTTATATTTGTTATTTTCTTTTATATTTCACGTCGGGAGAATAATTTCCAAGACACGAATGTGTTTTTACCTGTGCACTGCTGCCTCTGTTACATCGCTCTTACTGCGCACGTTTTGTGGGGGTTTCCGGCAATGAGTGGAATTACCGAAATAAAAAAATGTATAAATGTGTTTCTTTTGTGTGTGTGTTGTTGTCCCAACAACACATAAAAACAGGTTTTATAATAAAGCAACTCACATACAGAAACACTAAAGTTAGAGATTAAAAATGAGATTAACGCGATTAAAAAACATAACGCGCTAAATATGACTGTAATTAATTAATCGCAATTAACGCGATAATTTGACACCCCTAGTTTATTTACTTTTCTTTTTTCTTTCAGTCACTCCACTGGCATCTAAGACTGTTGGTATATATATCCAGGGTCCTCCACTGGAAGAGCGTCAGAGCACTGCTCCCAGGTTGAACGTCTCTTGCCTTCTGGTTGGGCCCTCACTGGACAGTTTCTCAGTGACTTGGAAAGTCGATGAGCAGATTGAGTCTGGAGGTGTTCATACCAAGGCCCCAGTGCTTCACAGTAATGGTACTCAGACCCTAGAGAGCCAATTGAGTTTGCCAGCACAGGACTGGAACACCCACAAGCTAGTGACCTGTGAGGCAAAGCATCTGTGCTCCAACCTCGTCTTCAAGGCACACACAAACAAGAGCAAAGGTAGAGGTTTGACTTATTTGAAATTATGGACCCTTATTTCAAGATGTTGATTGTCTCGTATCGCATCTACTAGCCTTGTTAATGCTTTATGGAATTAAACGTATCTATAGAAATTATTTCATGATGAGTAATTTGCTCAAAAATACTTTAATAAAGATGAATTATTACAGAAAGCAGCGTCAACTTTCCATAGATAATGTCATACTGTGGAACACTTAAGGAAAAGTTACTTAGAGTTCCATTAACGGAGGAGGTACACTTTTAACTAACCACATTTTCTTTCTTTTTTTTAACTAGTGCAACTTCCACCAACTGTAACACTGACCTATCCCAGCCTCCATGAGCGATCCCTTTTGGACCCTATGTTCCTGGACTGTCTTGTCTCTGGATTCTACCCCCCGGAGGTCCGTATTTTCTGGGAGAAGAACGGTATCAGGATTCCACCTTCCAGCCAAACCAACGCACCGGTTTGGCAAGACAAAGATGGCGTCACGTATTGTACAAGTAGTCGTCTGAATATATCCAACACTTTAGATGACAATTCCACTTACGCTTGTGTTGTGAGGCATGAATCTTCAGCGGCACCGTTCACGGAGACCATAGGACCTGTTTTTGGTATGCCATAACACACATTCATTATATTGGTCTGTTTTTGCTGGAATGTATATTGGAATGTTCTTCAGTATGGCATTATTTAACTTTTATTCAGTAACATGGTTAGTAGCTAAATAGATTGAAATACATCTTACGGTAAAATGGTTCACATCTCCACAGAGCTGACTTTTAAAGGGACAGTCCAGAATTTTGGACATAGGACCTTGTTTCCGCCTGAGTGTTGGAGACGTGTGGAGACACTTTTTTAAATGTTCCATCCAGTCCTTGAGGTCACTGGTGCTAGGATAGTGCATGTCAATGGTCATAGTTATCCTGCCACTAAAAACAGTCTTACCCACTCCACAAAACACCCAAAGCAAATCTATTATTCCACCAGACTGTCAATGTGAATGTCTGGGTCGATAGAATAATTTTAGAAGTAAAACCAACCTTGCATTTGAAGGATTTATGTCTGAGCAGCAGCAGCAGCAGCGAGTTCCTTCCTTCCTGATAGAAAGCTTGGCAACGGCGGACTGATATATAAGAAAATAGTCCCTCAACATGCGATGATTCCTACAATGCAAGGTTAGTTTTATTTCAGACATTATTCTGTAAACACAGACATTTACTTTGACAGTCTGGTGTAATAATAGATTTGCTTTGGGTGTTTTGTGGAGTGGGTAAGACTGTTTCTAGTGGCAGGTTAACTATGGCTGTTGACACGTCTCCAACACTCTGGCTCACTAGGAAATGAGGTTCTATGTCCAAAATTCCAGACTGTCCCTTTAATACATACATTTTTAACAATTTTTAGTCAATAAACTTTTTTCACAAGTTCCGCGATGTAGCCGTAAACGTCATTTTTGTTAATGCTTTTCTATGGCAAAAATGTCTGTGGAAATGTTTTGTCAGCTTCTTAAATCTGCCCCATCACCAAATCTTCATTCAACAAGATTGACAAAGGACATATTCTGTCCATGAAGAATTTATCCACAACTATCAAGGTAAGAAAGACAAAAACTTAAAGGTAAACACGGGAAAACACGATGACGTGACGTAAGCTATTTTGGTAGGCAAAAAGCATCCGTATCAACAAGTCAGCATCAACATTGTCAACAGTTATTGGCATACAACATCAACAACTGTCATCCAACAGTACAACATCAACATCGTCAACAGTTATCGGCGAGTTTTAACTTTTCAAAGTAACATTTTTGATCCTCAACATTCAGTGACTTAGAGAAGATAATGAAATCATGTCAAAACAATTAAATGCAAAACCTACTTCAAAATAAGACGAGTTATCTCTTGACAGGCATACACAATGCAACTGTCAACACAAACGAGCGGCCCCACTGACTTTTTGCCTACCAGTCACTGCGCACGTACGGAAAAGCCAGATGTAAACAAAAACATTTTCTCGTATAAAGACGAGCATTTAGCAACGTTATCTTAATGAATAAAACATAAGTAATACGTAATTCATTAATAAGTAAGTTGTTAACTCAGACAGATGTTCACAGATCACAAGTCTAGCATTTAAACTGCACAAATCTCTCTGTCTATGCTAATATCTACATCATGAATTAGATTTTTAATTTTAATTCTACAATCAGTCTGAGTTAACAACTTACTTACCGTAAATTCCGGACTATAAGCCGCCACTTTTTTCTCACACTTTGAATCCTGCGGCTAATAAAACGATGCGGCGAATATATGGACGGATTCTTTGTTTGGCACATTGTCCATTCATATAAACGGTCTCTGATTTGGCAACACAGCGGATACGCACAGCCTGAGTGCAGAAAACGCAGCTGTGTGGATCTAGGGTTAACATGAAGTTGCTACACTAGCGATATTGTCAGAGCACTCAAACATTTTATCGCTGAGTGATAAAATAAGTTATGATGGTAAATAAACATTAGTGAGGGGGATACGTCTTACCCGTAGTGACAAGAAGAAACGTTTCAAATTTCAGTAGCAGGACATCCAATCATACCTGACTGATAGAATTAACCCCGCCCCCGGGAGAGTCTGAAATTTGTTGAAATCCTATAAGACACTGACATGACACAGACAGGACAGAGGCTCTTTCTGCAGGAAACATGCACAGTAGAGAGCCGGGAGAAATGGGGGTGATGTGCAGCAGAGGAAGATTCTAGTTTGATTGTGTTTTGAACAGTTATTTTGCGTTTCATGCACACCGTCCTCATGGAAAACACGAAGAAATGCAGATGATGCAGCTTTTAAGTTAATGGCGATTGATGTCGCTGTTGAAGAAGGAAAGACGCATGCAAAAAGACGACAAAATCTTTCAGAGGCGATAAAAGCAGACAGCTCGAACTTGAAAATGTTGTTGAAGACGTGAACACCTGCGGCTTATATTCATATATATGTACAATTATTATTATACATTGTTAAATTAAATTTAATTGATGCAGCTTATATTCAGGTGCGCTCAATAGTCCGGATTTTACGGTATGTTTAATTCTTACCGTACTGTTAGTTTTGCTCAGGAGTAGTTCACTAATGTTCATTGTTCGCCTTTAAGTTTTCGTCTTTCTTACCTTTGATAGTTGTGGATAAATTCTTCATGGACAGAATACGTCCTTTGTCGACTTTGTTGGATGAAGATGTTGATGTTGTACTGTTGTATGACGACTGTTGATGTTGGACGCCCATAACTGTTGACGATGTTGATGCTGACTTGTTGATACGGACACTTTTTGCCTACGAAAATAGCTTACGTGACATCATCGTGTTTTCTCGTATTCACCTTTAAGTTTTCGTCTTTCTTACCTTGATAGTTGTGGATAGGCCTGTAACGATAACACATTTTGCTGGACGATTAATTGACCAAGAATTTATTGCGATAAACGATAATATTGACATTTTGAGACCAATTTCAATTAATATAATGACCATGAAATAAAAATGCAAATACATCCTCTCAATGATCAATAAACCTTACTTTCTAAATAACATTTAACACAGGAACTGTAAGACAACCACAAACAATATTCCTAAATAAAACAGACTTAACATAGGACTAGCCTAATGTACTCTGGCTCACAGCAAGGACTTGTTCACAAAAATGCACTTGAATAAACCATTGTTGAACCAAACACAACCAAAGCATTAAATAAAATTGATTATTAAGTCTCTGTAACAAAACTGTCCTTAAAACTGATTTTAGTCACTGACTTACATGAATATTGTGTCTCGTCTCTCTGTGGCTGCTGCTGTGAGCCTTGTCATTTTGGTCTTGAAGTGTCCATATTAACCTGCGACACAGGATGCTGTTTCGCTATGAGGGAGCCGCTGTTCTGTCTGGTGTCGTGTCGGTTCGGTTTCGGGATTTCGGGCGCTCTCAGGCGCTCTTAGGCGCTAGGTTTATTGTGTCGCTCGGGTTTGGGTTTATCGGCTGTTGGGGTTTGAGATATTTCTTCTCGTCGTTTGCGCGCTCGCTTCATTTGATGCATGTGGCTGTTTAGACGGGTCCCACTCACCAGTTTTGATTCGGCATCGTGACTTGTTTAGGTGATGAATGGAGATGAACAGTTTTGTCACTCTGACAGCAGCGCACAAACAGCGGCGCTTTCTGCTAACTTTCTGCAGCTGCAGAAAGCGCCCAGACTACACGCGCATCCACTGTGTTGATAAACACAGTGCATGTTGGTTCAAGTGTCATTACGCTTGTTAAACGAGAGGAGTCAGAGAGTGATAGAAACCTTCTAACATTCAGTCTCTTTGAGAGCGAGAGAGAGCGAGGAAAACAAACAAGCGTCCAACTAGAATTTATCGTGGCTGGAAAAGTTATCGATTTATTGATTATCCTTACAGGCCTAGTTGTGGAAAAATGATTCATGGGCAGAGTATGTCCTTTGTTGACCTTGTTGGAAGAAAATTTGATGATGGGGCAGATTTATGAAGCTGGTGGAGAATACGCAAGACATTTCCAGAGATATTTTACCATAGAAAAGCATTAACCAGAAGTGACGTTTACCCTACTCTTCCGGCTGTTTTCAAAAAGGTCTATTATGTTACAGTTGGATTTCATTGTTTGAGATTCACTTAAGGGGCCTATATCACACTATTTTCTGATGTTATAATGTTGTTTCCTCATCACAAACAAATCTTGGAGTTGTGTTTTGTTTCATTTCCACATGTTTGACTCACAAACCCTGCTTCAATATGTCTTTAAACCCCATACACCTTCACTAGAATCACTTGGATAATTTCAGACCTGGAATAATTACCCATCTCTACTGAACAAAAGTTAGTTAAAAGGTAGCTTGAAAACTACAACTATATGACATCACAAGGTGGAAAGGAGCAGTTTTGAGCTTTGGAGATGAAGACAGACTAATAAAACCAGGGTGAGTGAAACAAAACACAACTCCTGGTATATTTTTGAGGAGGTAACAATATATAACAATGCTTAAAGCTCACAAGAATCCATTTTGTGTAATATAAGATCTTTAATACTTAAATTTTTAACCATTTTTCCATGATCTCATCTCATAGCATCAGTTACTCCCACCATGCCTTCCGCCGTGTTGCTACGTGGTGATAATGAACTAGTTTGCCTGGTGAGCGGCTTCAATCCGGCGCAGGTAAACATCTCTTGGTTTCTGGATAACTCCACTCAGCTCCACGACCACAAAACCAGCGAGGTTCTCCAGGGCCCAGACAGAAAATTCAGCATCCAAAGTCGACTCCGTCTGACCCTCACAGACATGCTTCCAGGGGCCCGCTACACCTGCAGAGTCACTCATGTCACTGCGACCATAGATGTCCATGTCATGCAGAAAGGTGATACAGGTATTATTTCAAAAGCAAATTGTGCACGTTTCAAGGGGGGAATTATGTAGAATGGATTTTTTTTTTTTTTAGCTTTCTACTGTTACCATATTTTTCAGACTATAAGTCGCTCCGGAGAATAAGGCACACCAGCAAAAAAATGCATAATGTAGAAGAAAAAAATATATATAAGTCACACCGAATTTTGAGTCGCTCGTTTTTTGTTTTTTTTTATGTTATAAATATATTTATATAATTTTATAAAATCAGAGACCAGGGACCGACATTTCATCTTGAAAGGCAAGTTATAATAATAACAATAGAACAGAGAACAACAGATTGTTAACGTCACATATGAACAGTTCTTCAAATAAATATAGCATAAACAACAGAACAGAACAAGTTTAACAAACTCTCCATCTCACTTCAAATCACTAAATCCATTGAATTCTTCATCCTCGGTGTCACTTCTGAGCAACTCCGGGACCTCTGGAGGTAAAAGGAGCGTCGCTTCCTCTTCTGTGTAGCTGTCGTCAGACTCAGCATCAATTCCAGTTAGAACAGGCATGTCCAAACTATGCGACATACAAATATACATACATATACAATATACAAATGCGGCCCTCAGACACATTTTTCTTGGCCCTCAGGCTTCCAGGTAAATTGGCCCAAATGACCTTGCATCAATTAAAAAGTATTTTTTTGCTGCAAGTTTTTTGAAAATCTACCTTGATAAAGCAAATATTTAATATTTCGTGTGTAGTTTAAGGATTTTAGCATGAATAAAGACTGATGGCTCATTCTAACATGATAAACATGCACATATTTCAATTATTCCCTGTACTGAGCACCAGTCTACGGTCCTCGATTGGCCCTCTGCTTCATCTGTGTTTAGAAATGTGGCCCTTGATGAAAAAAGTTTGGACACCCCTGAGTTAGAATTATTCCAGACTTTCTGAATCCTGACAGGATGGTTTCAGTTGTCACTGAAGTCCAGTATTTGTCGATCCATCTAGTGACTTCCAGAAAAGTTTCATGGTGCACCCTCCTGGTGTCACAGGTTTCTCGCTCACTCCAAACTTTCTTTCTGCTGCTTGATTACCATTTTCAGCTGCAGATTTCGCTACTTGCAGTTTGTAATCTGCAGAATATGATTTTCTTTTTGGGGCATTTGTGTTCAGTCTTCTCAGTCATCTTTAGAACTTTGTTTAAATTTAAAATTTTCAGTGGTGCAGAAGTAATGGTGCGATTGACTGACATGATACAGACAGGACAGAGGCTCTTTCTGCAGGAGACATGCACAGTAGAGTGAAGTGACAGCGGTACAGCAGTAATAGGAGAAGCAGATACTGATACACAAGACTAGAGCGCCCTCTTGTGGCTGTCAGTGTAAAAATGTTAATATTTAAGTCGCACAGGAGTATAAGTCACATGACCACCCAAACTATGAAAGAAGTGCGTCTTATAGTCTGAAAAATGTACTATGTTTGCTCATCAAAAACCTGCCTGAAGAGGTTTTAGATGTAATCCATGCATGTTTCAGTCATTTAGACTCTTTGTTATTGTCATATATTGTGATGTGTGAGCTACTGTGTTCAAGTCATTTCCCTTGTGGATCTATAAGGTTTGTCTAAGGCTAAGTCTATTCTTTCTGTATATTGTCGTATTTGAGCAGATAACATAGAGAACTGTAACTTCCTGGACTACCTCCTGCACACGGACTTGGAGCAGGACCCTGGTGTGGAGCTGGTACTTGGCCTGTGCGTTTTTGCTGTGTTTCTTCCTGTCTGCGGCCTACTGTGTGGGGGCCACTCTATTCAAGGTGAGATTATATAATATTTTTATACACTTATAGACCGTAAAGAAATGTCAGCTTTAATTTAGCAGATTTTTTATGTGTCCATGGGTTTCTTAATGTTGAGAAATTGTTACTAAAACACAGCTGAGATAAAAATATTTAAGATTTTTGCAAAAACTTTCACGTTGTTTTCCCAATTTTGCAATTGACTTCTTGGCTGGAAATCGTAACATCACACTAGGGAATAACCATTACCTAACAAAACTTCTCTGATCTACACAGAAATTAGTATAATTATAAATACAAATACAAGAAAACTCCTTTATTTTGTTAGTTTTGAATTAATGTCAGTATCAGGAAAAAAATAATAATTGTACTAAACTTTTGGATAGTGGGATGTTATTAGTGTGTTTCAAACTCTCTACTTCTTGTATTTTTCAACACATTTTTTTTACTTTTCTTCACAAATTGCTTGTACATTTGTGTAAAACTATAATTTATACTTGCAATGGTTACAATCCCACCAAATTAAGTCAAATTTTGAGAATCATAAAAATCTGTCATATGCACTTTAAAGCAGTTTATTTTATTTTTTTTACAAGGAAATGGTTAAAAGCTGAGGCACCAACAAAAGACAACTGGTTTGATGTAATTCAAGATATTTATTTTATGAAGAAATTAACTTATGCTCTAAGATTAGAAACAGAGAAATTTGAAAAGATATGGAAGGGTTGGCTGAGTTTTGTTAAAACGATACGTTTGGATTTTATTTGAGTGCTCATTTCCCCAATGTTCTGTTCGCTACCAAATTGAGTTTTCTGTTTGTTTTTCTATTTTTCTTTTTTTCTTTCTCTCTTTTCAATATAATAATAAAACTCTGTATTTTATTTGGAAGATTAAGTTTAAGACAATGTTTGTTCCTTAAACAATATTTGCATATGTGAAAGTGTAATTATTGTCTTGGAAAATTAATAAACAAATAATTGAAAAAAAAAAAAAAAAATCTGTACAAAAAGGCCCTGAAAAAAAAAGAAAGAAAAAAAGCAGATGTTTTATGCAAAATTGTGTGTGTGTGTGTGTGAGAGAGAGATATCGACATATTAATAATACTCATTCTTTTTGTTTTTTTCATAGACTAAATGAAGAGGAGATACAGGAAACACTTCTGAAGTCATGTTGGAGTTCAATTTCATGTTTTAATTTTGTTGTCTTCCTATGACTTGGGCTTCTGTAAAATAAAAACAATAAATCTAGATATTAGTTATGAGTCGAGTGGTTCATTTAATTGTTATAATGATCATTTATTTTGAGTGCCAAAAACTTAAAACACTCTTAAATGTTTAAAAATGTGTTGTGTTAACAGAGATAGCTAAAATATGCATAACTGTACTCCAGTGAAGTTCAAATTTGATTTTTATGAGCTTTTGCGTCATGTTATAACGTCGTTACCTCCTCAAAAACAGACCTGGTGTTGTGTTTTGTTTCATTCACATGTCTGAGTAATCCTTTATTATTATTCTGTGTACATCTCCAAAGCGCAAAATGCTCTGTTCCACCTTGTGATGTCATGAAGCTGTAGTTTTCATGCTAATCTTTTACATTTTTGTTCAGTACATAAGAGCAATTCCAGGGCTGAAATTAATATCAAATGATTTGATAACACATGTTTATTAATCATTCACTAATCATTTACTAAAAGTTACTTCCTCAAGAACATGGACAGGACAAAAAGTGTAATTTATAAAACATTCATACTTTTAATATGTTTAATTAAGACCATCTACAAACAAATTACAAATATTTATTAACCATTAACTACTCGTGCACAAATGGTGACATAGTTGTAATAATTTTAGTAAATGTTTAGTTAATGGTTAATAAACATTTACAAATCATTTGCAGGTATGTCTTATGATGAAGTGTTACCAGTGATTCTCATGAAGGTGTATGGAGTTTAAAAACACAGTAGAGCTCTTTCTGTATTACCACATGACATCACAAGGTGGAATAGAGTTTTCTGTTTGAGAGCCTACATACAGAGGGTTGTGTGGGAATGAAACAAAAAACAACTCCAGGTCTGTTTTTGATGAGGAAACATTATGACATCAGAAAACACAATAATATGGGCCCGGCAACATGGAAAGTACCAATTCATGACATCACAAGGTGGAGCAGGGCATTTTGAACTTTGGAGATGTAGATGTACATGTGCGAATGAAACAAAACACAACTCCAGGTCTGTTTGATGAGGTAACAACACGACTAAAAGCTCACAAGAGTCAATTTTGTGTAATATAAGATCTTTAAAAACATGTTGAAATAAATAAACCCCACTAAATGTAACTGAGTATTGATAACTCCACATTATTACTGTACAACAAATCACCCTTATGTACCAGATAATACTCCCTACAACTGTACAACTCACCCTTATGTAACAGATAATACTCCCTACAACTGTACAACTCACCCTTATGTAACAGATAATACTCCCTACAACTGTACAACAACTCACCCTTATGTAACAGATAATACTCCCTACAACTGTACAACAACTCACCCTTATGTAACAGATAATACTCCCTACAACTGTACAACAACTCACCCTTATGTAACAGATAATACTCCCTACAACTGTACAACAACTCACCCTTATGTAACAGATAATACTCCCTACAACTGTACAGCAACTCACCTTTATGTATCAGATAATACTCCCTACAACTGTACAACAACTCCCCCCATGTAACAGATAATACTCCCTACAACTGTACAACAACTCACCGTTATGTACCAGATAATATTCCCTACAACTGGACAACAACTCCCCCCATGTAACAGATAATACTCCCTACAACTGCAAAACAACTCACCCTTATGTACCAGATAATACTCCCTACAACTGTACAACAACTCACCGTTATGTACCAGATAATATTCCCTACAACTGGACAACAACTCCCCCCATGTAACAGATAATACTCCCTACAACTGTACAACAACTCACCCTTATGTAACAGATAATACTCCCTACAACTGTACAACAATTCACCATTATGTAACAGATAATACTCCCTACAACTGTACAACAACTCACCCTTATGTAACAGATAATACTCCCTACAACTGTACAACAAATTATACAACAATTGTACAATTGTACAAATTATGATATTAGAAAACAGAATAACATGGGCCCAGCAACATGGAAAGTACCAATTCATGACATCACAAGGTGGAGCAGAGCATTTGGAGATTTGGAGATGTAGCCTGCCTAATAAACCAGGGTTACTCAAACACGTGTGAATGAAACAAAACACAACTCCAGGTCTGTTTGATGAGAAAACAACATTATAACACGACTAAAAGCTCACAAGAGTCAATTTTGTGTAATATAAGATCTTTAAAAACATGGCGAAATAAATAAACAACACTCAACATAACTGAATATTGATAACTCGACATTATTACGTCTCCAAACTGAAGCAGAGTAAAGGTTATTTCAGGTCAGTCCCTTTCGTAAGTGCCATTTTGTGATTTATCCACTAGGGGGCGACGTTGCTCTTCCAAAACCCACTTTTTACGCCTCACTGATGTTGAAGAATGAGATCATGTTGATTTCAATGACGACCAACAAAGACAAAATTAACCCACACACTTTTATTTAAAATGTCGATCCACGTAACATTATTCTAAATTTCTATACCTTCAATTCTTTATGTTTTTTTTTGTTTTATTTTCCAACTCTTCCACATCTGGGAGGGCTGCTCATGACATGTTACTATTGGCTACCTCTGGAGTGATGTGCCAGCCTGAGCCTCGATTGGCCAGTGCCCGCCGGTTGTCTGCCCCAAAAGAGTGACGCTGTTGCTGGGATGTAGTCTCCATGCCAGCCTGCCCGTGGTGTGCCAACCCGAGGGGGCCGGCAAAGGGGGAGCTGAGCAACCTATGTGCCCAAGTAATCGGATCTTACTCTGCAAAAACTCAAATCTGGCCAAATTGATATAACTTGGATTAAGAACATGTTATATTGATTTTAGTAATTATCTATCAGTTGTGTTTTGTTTCGTTCACACGTTTAACACACGTATTTACGAGGAAAACACTGTCCCATTTTGTCATGTCATGTGCTGATACAGGAAGTGCTCCACTGTGTTTTTAAACTTCACTAGAATCATTTGGAGACGTGAAACTGCCAATATCTACTGATAAAAAAGTAAAAGGTTTTTCTTCTTCCCACTCCTTTTTGGGCAAACTTGAACATTTTACTGCTTGATGTCAGTAAAATGCTGACTCGCCCAAACTAAATACGGTGAAATGAAAGGTAGCTTGAATGTCATAACTTAGTGACATCACAAGGTGGAACAGAGCGTTTTGATTTTTGGAGATCTACACACATTAACAAGCCGGGATTACTCAAACATGTGCGGACGGAACGAAACAAAACACAACCCCGTGGGACATTTCACGTAAAGCAATAACATCTCCATGGAAACAAGCAACAACATTATTTAGTTTTAGTTAAAATATAGGCAAATCTTAAACTTAGACTTAGACAAACTTTATTGATCCACAAGGGAAATTATTTGGACACAGTAGTTCACAAATCACAATATAATAAAAAAAACAAAGGGCAAAAATTTAAACGGTAATAATAAATTCTAAACAAATAGCAATTACATTAGGGTGAGTATTATCTGTTACATAAGGGTGAGTTGTTGCACAGTTGTAGGGAGTATTATCTGTTACATAAGGGTGAGTTGTTGTACAGTTGTAGGGAGTATTATTTGTTACATAAGGGTGTGTTGTTGTACAGTTGTAGGGAGTATTATCTGTTACATAAAGGTGAGTTGTTGTACAGTTGTAGGGAGTATTATCTGTTACATAAAGGGTGAGTTGTTGTACAGTTGTAGGGAGTATTATCTGTTACATAAGGGTGAGTTGTTGTACAGTTGTAGGGAGTATTATCTGTTACATAAGGTGAGTTGTTGTACAGTTGTAGGGTATTATCTGTTACATAAGGGTGAGTTGTACAGTTGTAGGGAGTATTATCTGTTTACAGGTGAGTTGTTGTACAGTTGTAGGGAGTATTATCTGTTACATAAGGTGAGTTGTTGTACAGTTGTAGGGAGTATTATCTGTTACATAAGGTGAGTTGTTGTACAGTTGTAGGGAGTATTATCTGTTACATAAGGGTGAGTTGTTGTACAGTTGTAGGGAGTATTATCTGTTACATAAGGGTGAGTTGTTGTACAGTTGTAGGGAGTATTATCTGTTACATAAAGGTGAGTTGTTGTACAGTTGTAGGGAGTATTATCTGTTACATAAGGGTGAGTTGTTGTACAGTTGTAGGGAGTATTATCTGTTACATTAAGGTGAGTTGTCATACAGTTGTAGGGAGTATTATCTGTTACATAAAGGTGACTTGTTGTACAGTTGTAGGGAGTATTATCTGTTACATAAGGTGAGTTGCTTTACAGTTGTAGGGAGTATTATCTGTTACATAAAGGTGAGTTGTTGTACAGTTGTAGGGAGTAGTTTATTTAATCACAATATTTTGGTTATTGTTACGTCCCTCTTCGTTACCATGGTGACCCAATGCACGCAAATACAGAAAGAAAAGTTAAACAACCCATTTTCAGGAGCCTGTGATGAATACGATGTTTAGGAATTTGATTTTCAACAAAAAGGTGAGCGTGACAAACTGGAAAAACTTGAAAACTTGAAACTTGATAATCACAATAAAATATCACTATACAAATTTTTTAATGGATTGTCCGCCACCTGCTTGTCTCCACGGAGATGTTACAGCTTTGCCTGTAATGTTCCGTGATATAACATTAAACATTTATTCATCACGTGTGTTTCTATCGCTTAAAAACACAATACCAACGCTCCACAGATCTGAACTGTAACGTAGCGTAGTGCTGTCACCTGCTTCTCTCTCTCGTGATAGATAAATTTAACCAAAACTGTGGAACATTTTCGACAAAGCAATAACTTAAACTTACATTTCCATAGAGACAAGCGGAAATGTTAAAACGTTACGCAGCGCTTCTGTAACTTAAGTATAAATAAAGGCAAAACTACCAGGTTAGAAACAGAGATAAAATGTAAAACTGTAGTCCCGCCCCTTCCCCTGATCCTCATTTGACCTGCTCACTGTGTCCATAAAGCCAGACCGGAGGAACAGACCGGCCCCTTCACGGCATTTCTGGAGCACTGGGTTAGAAACTATGCGGTGGGCTTTGGGTGACTAGGTTTAAAACAACCTACGTACAGTGTGAGATGAATGTTTTGCGTTCTTGAAGGTGCACTGCGTAACTTTACGGTTGGGAAAAGGAAAAGGAAACGTCCGTCGCCTTCTTGCTTCTATGGATATATATATATAAACAGATCCGCTTTACTTTTATTCAATTAGAGGTGGTTTTAAAGCTCAAAAATACCTAGAAAAACACATTTGGACTGTGAGCGGGGTCGCCTCTCCAAAGATTTGACCTGTGACTTGGTTTGGTTTCCATGAAGATAGAAAGGTTTAATGACGTACTGTGAAACATTCCAGACAGAGCAATAACATCCCCAAGGAGAAAAGCAAAAGAAAAGCGACTGTGCCTGATATTTACCATCTTAAAAATGTGAAAAACAGAAAAACTCTTTAGGATAAAAAAACAAATCTTATGTTGGTTAAATTAAGAAGAGGTAACTTATTTCATTGGTAGATAATAAACTCAAAAAAGTCAAATAATCTTAATTTAAAGGTGCATTGTGTAACTCAGGATTCCCTTTTTTTTTCACTGACAAAATGGACTTTTTCGTGACCTAAAGTGATTTTTTTTTTACTTTACAGCACCTACATTGAATTGATCAGACTTTTAGAGCTAAATATGACAATGTTTACTCTTTCCACTCACCTTATGGTTTGATTTTATAGTTTTTAGATATGTAACAATAACCGAAATATTGTTATTGTGATATCATATCGTCAAAGTTCTCAATAATATCGTGGACCATTACAATATATATCGAATTACAAGTCTCTTTGCTTAAATTAAGAGTTATGGTGCAGCAGTAGCTAAAAAAAAGACAGAGGGAACTACATAGACCATGATCCTTTGCTCCATTTCAGTGCAGACTACAAGAAGAAATAACAGTTCTTTGGATTAAGTTGTGTCAAGGCATTTTAAGAGGAAAAAGTGGAGTATCATTTTAATGCTTTTTTTAGTCTCTACAAAATATCGCAATAAATACCGCACCCTGAGATGTATATCGTGAAAATATCGTACGAGCAATAAATATCGTACCGTGACGTTTCTACCGTGACTATATCGATTCGTGAGACTTCGATATCGTTACACCCCTAAAAGTTATTTAACATTCAAAATACTGTCAGTGCATTTATTGTCGTCTCTTTTAAACAAAAAGGCGCAGACGTTCGGAAATAATCATAATAGTTTAATGACAACTTAACAGAATGCAGTAGAGATACTAAAATTCCATCACTTTTCAAAAAAATGTATTGAATTTCCAGTATTTCTCTCCATAGTGATGTTATTGCTTTGCCTGACATGTTCCACATGTTTGGATTTCTCAAAACCACCACAAAAACTTGTATTATTATTATTATGGTGAGTTGCCCCACTTCTCCACAGATCTGACCCTGTAACTTGGCCTGTTGATGTGGCCTGCTTTGTTTCCATGGAGACAGTTCGATGAAATGCCATACTGTAGAACATTCCAGGAATAAAAACAATAGCATCTACGTGGAGTCAAGCAGGTGGAGGACCCTCTACCAGAAAAGTTACACAGTGCACCTTTAAGTGATTTTAACTCAGGTCAGTGGTCCAAAGTTTTTTCTCACTTAACTTTTGCATTCTGAGCATCTTAAGTTCTCACCGTGATGAGTTTATAAGCACTTTTCACAACTTTTAGGGACCAGAGCAGTTTTGTTGTCATGATAATGCTAAAAACAACTAGCATGCTAACTCGCCCTTCCTGCTTACAGACATAATGTTTAACGAAGTGCTGCCTACATAAATCGCCGGTTTATTCAGTGATATACTTTGAAGATATTGAACGTTAAAGGTCCCACGTTACGCTATTTTCTGTTTCGTCATCACAAACAGACCTGGAGTTTATGTTTTGTTTCGTTCACACAAACTGAAAACACTCGGTTACACCTTGTGATGACCAAAAGTAAAGGGGATAAAAAACAGTAGCTTTTTTTTAAAATATATATATTTCTGAAGCAGAAGTAACAGTAACAGTAGCTACTTGAGTAAACTACTTTTGTGATTACATTATGAGAAGAATCAGGAGCTTGTTTCTGCATTCCTTGTCAAATTACATTAAACTGTAATCAGATATTGTGCCCAAACTGTTCTTTCACTAAATGCCTTTTTTACACACTGTAATTATTTGGGTACTTCCATCCCTTGAGTGTATTTTGGCTACTCACTGCTATTTGATACACATACTATTGCATCTATATTGATTTATAGCAATTATCCACTTCCTGGAGGATCTCACCACCTTGTGACATCAGCAGGTTTAACAGAGGATTTTGAGCTGCTGTGACAGAGATGAAAATGCAAAAATCCAGGTATGTTTATTTCATACTCCAGCTATGCGCTGAAGATTAAAATATGGTGCGAAGTTGAAAAATGTTTAAGCAAAAATCTCTCCACAGACCTAATCTGTAAATCTGTAACCTACTTGTATCCAGGAACATAGATCAGAGCTGTCAAACTCAAATTCACAGAGGCCAAAATTAAAAAAAACTGTGACTAAGTTGTGGGCCAAACTAAATATTTATTGAAAAATGTAAACAACATCTGCATGTTTTCTCTTCTCTTGAGATATGTAATGTTAAGATTTTTCTTATTAAAATAAATGTTTAATAATAGTTTTGCTTAAACATTGAATCCAGAACAAGCATAAGACAAAACAACTCAATTTTAAATAAATAATGTCTCTATAGTCTATCTGTAGCCGGCCGGCAGCTCTAATACAGATTTGATACGATCTCACGGGTCAAATATAATTATATCGCAGGCCAAATTTGGCCCCTAGGCCTGAGTTTGACATGTATGATATAGATGTTTAATGTCACACTGTGGAACTTATCAGGCAATAACATACAGTCACATAGTGCACCTTTACTGTAAAAAAGAATGGTGAAAAACAGAATATGTTATGATTCTTAGCTTATTAAAGTCTCTGAGATTGTACTTTAAACTGCAGCTTGATTACTGAGTGTCTTATTGTAAAGGTCTATAGGCTCTTGTCTTTGTTCCACATCTTGATAAGAGTCCACGCTTCTGCTTAGAGCATGTTCCTCAGTCTGCATTATGTGCTGCAGGGTTATGTGGGGACAATGTGAACGCTGTCACGTGTGATGAAAGGATGTCTGGGCGAGCCTGTACTTCTCAGGCCTTCCACCAAACAGCCAACAAACACCACGATCCCGAGAAAACGTCTCCGCGTCTCGTGAAATACGTGCGCAGACCTGATAGCGCCATGTGAGGTCAATCCCAATTGTTTACGGCCGCGATGGGTGCGGCTTTAGTTTATACCTATTTTATATGCGCAGACTGAGTTCACTTAAGTTGACGCGCGCACGGACGTACACACACGCGCACACGGCCTACTTTACTCGGTTGCACTCATATATGCGGATAGAGTGAGCGCGCAAGGGGGGAGTGCGGCCACTGCGCCAACAGCCAGTCTCCGCGCCGGGATCGGTCTCAGTGCGGCGGTCATGCGTTGGAACGACAGCCGCGCACCCGTGTCCCAGCTCCACTCACTCCGCCGCCGTCACCCCGAGCTCACCGTACCCTGAATGGCTCTCCGTGCATGGCCCAGTGAAAGCGGGGAGCACCAGCAGCCGGGACAAGAGCGCGCCGCGTCTCCTTATTTGAACCATCTCTGAGCTGGAAACTTCACAGCGAGCAGGGTGAGTGAGCGAGCCTTTTTCAGACCACTGTGTCGTCAAATCAAGAGCATTTTAATGTTAAACCAAGCGCCGTGGAGATGATTTTCTGACGCTAAACCGAACTTAGCCTTCATTTAAAAGTACTCTCATTAAAGCGCGACGCGTGCATTGTGACCTCGCAGCTTATCACGTCACCCCACGTCTCTTTTGTTTACTTTTTACACTGTTTTGGTAATACATCTCGCATCTGTACGGACGTTTTGCACGGCTGCCTCAAATATGGCGGATTTCCATGGCAACGCTTGGTTTTTTGACGTCCATCCCGAGCTCTTTTAGTGGTTATTTATTAGCAGAGGGGGGGGCTTTTTATTTTATTTATTTTTAAGGGGGGGGAAGGAGGTGTGACCGCGACTCCCCGCTGTGTCCAAAAGGCTTTCCTCACTCATACGCGAGCTCCTTTGGCTCGCTCCGTCTCCGGGGCTGGCTCGCTGTGCGCCGGCCCAACCCCCCTGCGCCGTGCCGCACTGGTTCAGTCTGGCTCGCCCTCAGCTGCTGCGTGTCCTGGGATGACCTGTTGATGTCGGTAGAATGGAGAATAGCAGGGGGAGCGACGATTACCCCCATCTCCCAAATATTTAAACATTTTGGCTCAATCGGCGTCGCGGCTGCTCAACTTGTCCCCTGCCTACGCTAAGACACAAAGTAAGTAAATAGAAAAAGCGCACGTTCGCGGACTGTGTTGCGGGTCGTTTTGTGTCGCAGAAATGCCTCTCGATTTTGGATTGCGTGTCTGGGTACGCGTGAGGTGGATGGAACCCAAAATATTTAAGAGTTAGCTTAGCTGTTAGCCACCTTTTAGGCCCAGTGAATGCGGGTAAAGATGGCACGTCACTACACCGCTGGCGCACGGGGGGAGCTGACCAAATGAGCGCGCCGGGGGAAGATTCAACGCGATCGGGGACGACTACCTGCCCCTTACCGGTGTCTCCGAGGGGTGTCTTTGCCTGAGTTGCCCCGCCAGACTAGCGGACAGACGGACAGACGGGCTACTCCTCCTCCTGCTGCTGCTGCTTCTGCTGCTGCTGCTACTGCTGCTGCTGGTTCCCCATGTCTCAACTACAAACACATCCACCTTGTTTCTCATCAAAGTCACTCGTTTTCTCGAATTCTCCACCAGGGACTCGAGAATTGTGTTGTTACCAAGTTTGGTGCTTTGCTAGATTGCCCAGATTTCCAAAAAATGCAATCACAATCGGTTTGATACAAGCCTTGGATCCACGTGAACCAGGAAATGCCTTCAAAATAGACCCATAGTTGTTCCATAAGCCAGGATAAGTCACATTACTCAAATAATTACTGTCTACAGAAACATTTGAGGTGTTAATCCCTTTCTTTTTGGTTTTAATGCTGGATAGGATTTAAGAGTTATAGCTACCCAGACATCTCACATTGATTAAAATGTATTTATAGACTCTTGGATAAACCTTTGGACACAAGTCATATAATGCCAAGATTTTCGTTTCCTTATGGTTTCGCAAAATTTACACTTGCACTGCCGTGGAGTTGGTTGCTTAAAATCTTAGCACATGAGGAGTTTACTTGGTATCTGTACACACAACTGGAAAAATAACAAGTAATACAGAAAATATAAACTTTATTTAGATTCAAGACAATGGAGAAAATGATACTCCTGTGAGTAAAAGTGCCATTGTGTAACTTTTCTGGTTTACCGCTTGTTTCTATGATGATGTTCTTACTTCACCATGCGTTTTATTCCTGAAAGAAAACATGTATTCTGACTGTAAAATGAATCATATCTCCACAGAACTGACTTGGTGGTGTCACGGAGAGATAAGTTTTGTTATGTCTGGATGCACCGATTTGAAACTGGTTTTGGTTCTTGGTTCAGTATCAGCTTCCAAATACCATTTCTGCCGATTTCCTAATTAGTTGGACATATTAATTAATATTTAAGATTATTTTCTGGTCATAGTCGGCTCTGAAGTTCTCAACTCTTATTTATAAAACGCAGTTGTGTAGTTCTTTGAAGGATAATCAAAGTTATATAACACATTTGGGTCAGTTTCGTCTTAAATTTAATCTTGTTTTTAGAAAATAAAGGCTGTTTTTAGTGTCTTTACTCTGGTATAAGTTGATATCGGGTATCGAGTCATATTGGAATCGGTATCGGAACTGAAAAAAGCTAGATTAGTGCATTTTTTATTTTTCTTTTGTGCCGTACTGTGATACATTTCAGGCTAAGCAATCATCTCTCTGTGATTTGAGTAGTTCTGTCTAGTTTAGTGTTAAAGTTGCGTTGTGTAACTTCTCAGGTAGAGGGTCTGACAAATGTTTTTCTCCATGAAGATGTGCTTGGAATGTTCCACAGTATGACATTAAACAGCCCACTACTTACGTTTATTAGATTACAGGTGGTTTTATAGCTCAAACATACCCACAAAAACAGGCGTTCTGACTGTGAGCGGCGTCGCCTCTCCACAGATCTGGCGTGTAGCTTGGTCTGATTTGGTTTCCGTGAAGATAGGAAAGTTTAAAGCCGTACTGTGAAACGTTCCAGACAAAAACAATAACATCTACTTGGAAAAAAAGCATTAGACAGACCCTCCACCAGAAAAGTTACACAGTGCACTTTGAAGATAACTAGAGTTTTGTTTGAAGCTAAAAGTTGAAGACAAATCTTAAACCACTGTTCGATAATATTAGAAACTAAAACTTCCTCAAGCGTGTAGTTTTTAAATGAATGGGGCAGATAGATTTTTTTTTTCGTCTTCTAGTTTTTGTGTTGTGAAAAGATAAATACAGCGCGAATACTGGACACTAACGTTGCAAAAAGGCTATAATTTTATACTAATAAATTACAAAATCCACCTTTAACTTTCTGTGTCTTGCTTGTCACCTTGGAGACGGCGTTGCTGTGTCTGGAATAACCCGCAGTTTGGCATTAATCTTATCTATTTCTTAATTTACATGTGTTTTTGTTGTTAAAAATAAAACTTGCAAAACACGAATTGCTCTTGCCCCAGATCTGACCTGTAACCTGGGCTCTCCTGCTCGTCTCCATGGGGATAGAGGTGGATTAATGCCATACTGTGGAGTTTTCCAAGCACAACAATCAAATCTCCATGGACACTAGGGCTTAGAATCATAGGGTCTTTCATGAGTCGATGTTATCAAGATATTTTGATACATGCGATGCTCGATTATATTCCAATTTCTAACTTGTTAATATGAATAAAAATACAAAAAAATACTCGTGGCGATATATCGATGCAGCAGCTCACGATAACGATACTGTATCATCAAATTAAGTGTCACGATATATCGGTATTTTGATATTTCTGCAGCTGTAGAACTTCAAAAATTCCCAATTCAACTTTGTACCTGCTTTGTTCTTCTTTTCTGCAACGAAACAACATATTACGCCGACACAAATCTGACATATTTTGAAACCGTACGCCTACGCGCAAAAAACCCGTATCATCTAGTCCAAACGATTCAAACTAAGATTTCAGTTCGGATTAATGCGACTCCTGTAGGCATTCCTCTTTTGCAGTGCGTGTGTCTGGTCGCCATGTGCACGTCCAAATGACTGGTCTGACCCACTTTCTCCGCTTTAAGTCGGGGTCAAGCCGGGTGACATTTCCGCGCGCTGTACGTTTCATGTAACCTGAGACCACCTTTTCTTCTAGTCCTCGATCCATTCTCCTTTCTTATCCCTTTCTTTTCTTTTTTTTTTCTTTCAGCTTTAACTGCTGCACCCCCCCTCCTCTCCCTTTCTCCCCTCTTCGCCCTCCCCGCTTAGTTGGCACCCGCGCGAGCACATAACCCCGTTCTACTCCAGTGTCAGGGTGAATTGTTCAAACACGCCCTGCCCTGCGAGCTTGCCTGATGTGTGTTGTGTGCCGGCCATTTTTTTACGTGCGTGTGTGTGTGTTTGTGTGTGTGTGTGTGGTAACGGTGGCTCGCTAACTGTAAACAAGCGGTATTGTCGAGTTTGTGTGCCATTGTGGGTTTGTTTGATTGGTGTGTGTGCGTATGCGTCTGTGTGTGTGTGTGTGTCGGTCTGTGCTTAGTATGAGTCGCTGAGAGGATGAGGAGAGAGAGGGAGAGAGGGAGCGATGGAGGACAAAAGAAGCGGTTCTCTCTTTACCCAGCCTAGTGCTTGGCTGATGCCCAGGGAGAGGCTTTGGTTTTGGGATATGATTGGGGCGGGATGCACGGGGCGAGCTGGTAGTGTAGGGCTGCTGGATTGTAGCTCGTGAAGGCTGTAATTATTTTGAAAACAGAATGTAGTCTGCGAAGAACTAAACATTCTACTGTCTTTTTAGGGAACGTCTTGTTGTTTTACCTGTAAGTTAAGATTTTAAAGAGCCCACGTTGCTCTGTTTTTAAAAAAAAGTCCTTGTTATAATGTTGTTTCTTCATCACAAACACACCTGGAGTTGTGTTTTGTTTTAACAACTCGCATATTTAGGCTGAGTTCTTCTCTCAAAGCGTTGTGTTTTCCATGTTTTTAAACTCCACACACCCTCGCTAGAATCATTTGAATGATTTAAAGCAGGCAATGTGGGTCAAATGTGACAAGTTTTTCTTGGCCCTCAGGCTTCCAGGTGAATAAACCCAAATTACCTTTCATCAATTAAAAATGAACTTTTTACTGCAACTTTTTTTGAACATCTACTCTGATAAAGCTAATATTTAATATTTAGTGTGTGGTTTTGAGGATCTTAGCATGAATAAAGACTGATGGATCATTCTAATGTGTTAAACCTGCACATATTTCAATTATTCACTGTACTGAGCCCCAGTCTACGGCCCTCGATCAACCCTCAGCTTTCTCTGTGTTTAGAGATGTGGCCCTTGGTGAAAAAAGTTTGAACACCCCTGTTTTAAATTAAAGGGTCCACATGGCGCTGTTTAAAACAAATCAATGTTAAAATGTTGTTTCGTCATCACAAACACACCTGGAGTTGTGTTTTGTTTTAACATCTTGCACATTTAGGCTGACTTCTTCTTTCAGAGTGTTGTGTTTTCCACGTTTTTAAACTCCACACACCTTCGCGAGAATCATTTGGATGATTTCAGCCCAGGAATTGCCAATCTCTACTGAACAAAAGGTAATAAGTAGCTGTTAACTTGAGAACTAACACAAGGTGGAACAGAGCATTCTGAGCTTTGACTAATAGGGATGTAACAATAACCAAAATATCGTGATATCGTATCTTCAAAGTTCTCACAATAATATCGTGGACCATCACAATATATCGAATTACAAGTCTCTTTGCTTAAATTAAGAGTTACGGTGCAGCAATAGCTAAAAAAAAAAAAAAGACAGAGGGAACTACATAGACCATGATCCTTTGCTCCATTTCACTGCAGACCTAGAAAAACTGCTGTTTGGACTGTGAGCGGGGTCGCCTTTCCACAGATCTGACATGTGACTTGGTTTTGTTTGGTTTCGAAAGGTTTAATGACGTACTGTGAAACATTCCAGACAAAGCAATAACATCCCCAAAGAGAAAAGCAGAAGAAAAGCGACTGTACCTGATATTTGCCACGTTAAAAATGTGACAAACAGAAAAACTCTTTGTGATAAGAAGCCAAATCTTATATTGGCTAAATTAAGAAGAGGTACTTATTTCATTGGTAGATAATAAACTCAAAAAAAGTAAAATCATCTT